ACTTGAGAATAATGGACAGGTAGAGAACGAGGAGATTCGCTGTCACGCAGTGAGGAGAGCTGACAGGGAGCGTCCGTGGACGGGGTTTGGCTCTGACTTCACTTAGATCATGTTTGTGAGACACTTTCCTGCGGTGTTATTTACTCATTAGCTATACAAGCTGTTCGGAGGCAAGACTGAACAGGTTGGTGGAGGTAAGGAGAGTAGAAAAACTGGCTTCATTTAAGTTGAACTATGGTTAGACCTCAGTCAGAGAGCCGACAGGGATGGCACACTGAGGACAAGGACTTCTGTTTCTGTCCTCTGTCTCTGCATCTCTGGGAGTGTTAGGCTGTTTATGTCAGAGCTGACAAACTCTTACCCAATTAGATCGAGTCTCTCTGCTGTAAAGTTTATTTTCGACCACCTGGGCAGCTGGGATGGCTTCAAAACAAACTGCTGTAATAACACTGGAGATGACTCTGCACATATTCCCAGAGGTTTGTGACTGTTTATGGACTGACTGACTGACTGACTGTTTTTTTGTAGACATGAAGTGACTGGAGTCTGAAACTACCAGCTGCTTTTGCACTTGCTGCAGGAAATCTGAGAAATAAATAGATCTCCTAAAGAGGAGGGAGTCCCATTTCACCCCAACATTAAGACCTGACTTCTAGACCTGTGTAATAAAACTTGAGGAGATTTAGGATGCTGTGATTTTCACATGGTAGCTCAGTGGTCTCCACTCACTGCCCACCTCTTCTGTTCTTGTTCAGGGAGCTGAGACACCGGGCAGAGAAAAAACAAACAAGGGGAAAGTATTTTGGCTGCGTGAGGAGGTCGAGAACGAGGAGAAGAAGACGCGCTTGTTTAGATGGATTCTTCGTGTTGGCCACAGCCTCACAGGGACCACGGAGCTCCGAACGTTTACAAGTCACTGTGACAAACATCATGGTTCACTGGTTCACCCAAAACGGGAGTCGTTCGCAGCGTGACAGACGTGGACCGGCCGCCGTCCTGCCCGGGGTGCACTTGGAGCAGCCTTTTACGCACGGCACAGCTGGTGAGTTCCTGTGAACCTTCTCTGTGGTGGTTTTCAGACAAAGCCTGTCTGAAGATGAGCAGCTCTGCGGTGAAAGCCGCTCTCTTGTCCCGGTTTGTTTGCTGTGCCCACACTGTTTGATTTCCATGCTTCCCATTCACGTTAGCACTAAAACCTGCAGAGCCAACCTCCGCGCACCTGCCAGCTGCAGGACCGAGTCTGGCTGTCCCTGCGGGCCACTGTGACCCGGAGCCAGGGTTGGATTTATTGTTAACTGGGAGAGTTAATGTGATGGAGGAGGAGGTGGAGGAGGAGAATAGTGTGTGTTTGTTCTCTGTGCGGTTTATGAAGGAAAAGGCTCCGTGATTTATGGGCTCAAGTTTTTAAAGGGTGTGAGAAGGTGACACTGAATGGAGGAAAAATATAAATCTGTTCAATGATGGACTACAATCCTCTCTCTCTCTCTCTCTCTCTCTCTCTCTCTCTGCCTCTGTCAAACACACACACATGCACTCACATCTACTGTACATCTAACAGTGCTTAACATTGTTTAAAAGTTCTATAATATATTTCTTTATTATTTTTATTTAGTCGATGTCACTGTTTTTTTTTTAGATTTTTTGTTATTTGCTATTTTTAATCTAAATGTTTTACATTTTGGCTAATATTTAATTTTGCTTTACCTATTTCAAATAACTTCTCTTTAATTTATTTAGGCTAACCTGTAGCTTTTGCTATACTTCAGCCTAATTTCTCTCTCTTTTTTTCTTTAAGATTTGTCACTACTTTGAGCCAACGTAAAGCTGACTATTAGTTAGACGTGGGTGTTGTTTGGAGGATTTATGATTAACTAAGGACTTTTCAAACCATTAAACCTTTCATCTTATTTTTATTTATTTATTTTTTCTGCTACTTGTGGTCTAAGATAACGTCATTTCAATGTAAATATCTCATGCTGATGTGTTGAGGCTCAGGCTGTTCCAGGATTCTTCAAAGTCACATCGTACGTCCACTTCATTCAACTTTCTTAATTATTTTTTTTCTAACGAAATTGTTTTTGTTTTCCCAGAGGCCGAACATTACATGACGCGTCACTGACTCATGTGATGTGCAGATGAACTCTCATTCTTACTCCCTGACTCAGTGACCCACTGACTCACACATTCATGAACTGACCGCGTCACATTAACGAGGCTCAGTTGCAACACCCCAGCCTTAACATGCTAGCTGTCAGCCCGTATATTAGGTTTTTTTTAATTCTCCATCAACCCCTGGGGTTTTTGTCTGAGCTGCTGTTTGTGACCCAGCTCTGTGGCTTTGACATCTCTTGAACTACGTCACATGTTGGCAGCAGGCGTCCGGCAGTAAAAGTCTGTAAAATGTGTGAAAACAAGTCATGAAACAACCTTGTTTTTTGACGGTGTCTGCTAAAACCTCAGGGTTTCTTCTGGGGCAGATCATTCAGAGTACCGCCTCTGCTCCAGGCATGTCACACTCCCCCGTCATGCTGCCCTGGCTTTCACTTCCTCCAGTCAAAGTTCAGGAGGTCAGCAGCTCTACCGAGGGTCAGGTACTCTGGGCCAGTTTGCGCTCTTTTTACCAGCAGCCTCCTGTTGTGTGGTCTGGTTTGTTTTAACTGGCATGTGGTTTTTACGAGAGCGAGCGTGCTGTTTGTTGGTGTTACGGGTTTAACTCTTTTTCTGCTCTGACACTGTTCCTCGCTGCAGCTCAATTACACACAAAGCAGTATTTCATGAAACAATGGACGAAGAGAGAAAAAATCCAATAGAACGCAGTATTTAATTTGGTAATTTATTAGAATGAAATTATAAAAACAAAAACTTTATAGATTTGATTGATCGTTGTCTTCAGGACAACTCCCTGACTTATAGAAGAAGATCAGACATCTTGAACGTTTTATACATGTGGACAAACGTTTTCTTTTATAAAACTCATCATTAAATAATTAATTAATTCTAACCAAGGCAGTCAGTGAAAACATTGTTCTTGTTTTGCTTGAATCTCAAAGTATTCCTACTGCCCGTTACTTGATGTTATTACATATATATATGATATCCTGATCCCAGTGAAGTAAGCCAGGCCTGAAACAGTGGCATGGTCAACATAATACACTGGAGAAGTTCTAAACATGACAATAAAGTGTACCTTTATTGTAACTTTATTGAAAATTCCAGCGATCCACCGTCAGTGACCAGTGAGGGAACAGATCAGGCTCAGTCACATTTCAAAGCCTATAACAACTGTGTCCCAGGCCAAATGCAGCTGTTTAGGTTCAACAGTCCAAATGAGGCTCAAAATTATACACAGCTTGAACCTTTCAACCAGGTGAACTTTCGAGGACGTGAACACTGGAGGACAGTCCTTTCTGATTAGTGCGACTGTGTCATAAAAAGATGGATGTGTACTCCGCGCCGGGAGCCTCGTCTTCAGATGTGTCTCGGCCTCGGTGTGTAACGTTACTCTGGTTGTTTTGTCCCGGCGCTAATGGAGAGAGGGAGAGAGATTGATTATGCAACCCCGCAGTGCCACAGGGCAGCTTCAATCTGGAAGTGCTTAAAGTATGCAGCGACCCACAGTGATTCCTCCGGGGCAAATTGAAGGAGGCATGATCTGACAGAAAGAAATTTCAATTTGTTGGATGTGTTCTCTCAGACAAATGCCTCCCATGCAAACTCCCGTTTTCTGGCTCCCTGCTCTCGTGGCACTGAACAGTCTTGTGAAAGTACGGCGGGGGAATTGCTTCCTTCTCTGATCTTGGAGTTGTTTTCTTGTTGATGGGAACTTTGGCTTCTTCAAGTTCAAACAGCTTAAATCATTCAGAACAAAGCAGCAGTTAATAATGTCGGAGCCGCTGATCAAACATTGAGCTAACTCCTGTCCTTATCTCAGAAATCTCAGCTCTTTAAAACAACGTTTCTCCCCAAAATGCAGAAGAATGTTAACTAGCCTTTGTGTCTGTGAGAGCATTGTTTAATACAATAAGCTGTATTCTCCTGAAATTAGCAGGTCACGTTCATTAATCATGGCGTCGGAGGGCCGCTTTGAACCATCAGCCCAGGTCATTAAACCCAGCCTGTCTGGGGCGCGAGTGGGCGACACGGAAACACTTTAGAGGGCACTGGTTCACTCAGACACAGGACACACTATTAATGGCAGTGCTGTGTGGTTACGTGTGTGTGTGTGAGAGAGTGTGTGTCACTGATGGCCCACTTCTCAGAGTGTTACTCTCAGGCTCAGCGTTGGCTTAATATGGAAACGTAACGGCACGACGAGGAAGAAACCGCTGGTTGTGGGGACGGAGGAGTGTGGTCAAAAAGACAGAGGGAAAATCTGCACCGTCACTGTGTGGAGGAGGTGGAAAACGGCCCTCAGTACAACTCTTAGAATTGAATTATTATAGCACAATGCTAGAGAATGAGACAAAAAAGAAGCTAATATTGAGTCCAAATGAACTAAACATCAGACTAGAAACTGTACAATGGTTATTTTTTTATTATAGCTTAAGGTTTATCTATGTATTCTATAGCTATATTTATTCTTTCCCCAGTTAATAAAAGTCAACAAGAAATAGCTAAACATATATAAGAGCCAGTGGTTTGTTTATTGGCAGATATATAAATACCTAAACAGTAAAAAAAAACGTTGTTAAAAAACGTATGTTAAAATACCTTTAAATAGTTAAGTTAAAGTTGGTTAAAATGTTAGTTGTGTCTGCCTTCCCCCTCCAGCCTTCGTCTCCCCCCCCCACTCCTCCTTACCCTTTGTCTTTTTTGCCCATCTTTTAAGCACCACCGTCCTCCCAAACACCGGAAAGTGAAACGCTAGCCCTCCATCACCGCTGCTAAAATGTGTTCCCATTTAAGGTGAGGCTCGGTCGACCGCTCTCTGTGTGGCTTCCTCTTTAAAACCAACTTAATCAGGCAGGAATTCGGGTTATTAGGGTCACAGACACTCTTTGCAGCCGCCTGAGCAAGAAGGAGAAGGTGAGGACACAGATGTGTCACATCAGGAGCTGCTCGTGGTAATAACAGATTCAGCCGACGTCGGTGTCCTGTTTAATTTACCTGATTTAGAGGATCACAAGACGTGTATTAGTCTGTTGCATTGTGGGATTTTTGTTCCAGCTGAAGTTGACTAAACTTTCGCAGTGACCCTGCACACTTAATCTTGTTGAAGCCTTTGTATACCAAGGCCGTTTCAGCTGATGTGGAAAGTCCAACCTCAGATTGATGGTGGGTTTTCTCTCTCTTCAATTTCCATGAATGACTAAAAGCAATTCATTTGGGAAAAATTAACTCTGGACACGGGTCACGTGCACTTCATTCACCCATTCAGCAGCACACTCACACAGTGTATATACCTCTCTGTCACTCATTTTTAATTCCCCTTCACATAACACCAGCTGGCCACCAGGAGCACCTTTGGTGAAACTGCTACGGTTCTCTTAGCTCACAGTGTTTGCATTTGTTTGGATGATGAGGTGTTTTTGTCATACATTTAGCTTTAGATCGCACATGCATTTCAGTGGCCCACCTCAATACAGAAATGAATGGATTAAAATAGTTAATATAGTGCTGTGATCACAATATGTTTCCCCATACAGACAGTAAAGGCACCGTCAGCTTTCCACTGTGTTTGTTTCACAGTAGATAGGATGGATGGATAGATAGAAAATATAAACCATCTGTTGTAAACGTCTGTGTCAGTGTCAACCTTCTGCTGGACTGTGAGAAAGATACGCCATGTGACTTTGATGACATGTCAGGTTGATAAAGCAGCCTTTTCCCCCTATCGTTACTCTGCCGTCAGAGCTGCAGCTCAGGTTAATGTGCCGCTCACAGATGACATATATATGTCTCATAAAATGTGCATTTCCTCCAGCTTGTTGTGACCCGGTGCTCCCTGCTCTTTGATGAGTGGCACAAACGCTCCCCGACGCACCTTTGGCAACTTGAACCTGCACGTGTGATGGTGTAAATCCACCGCTGTTACTCCTAGAC